GATAAGCCAGTTTAAAGTGTATAAGCCGCAGTCGCAGGTTCTCAACAGTCCTTTACCTACTATTTAAAAAGGATTATCTTCATTAGCCAATTCGGGTAAGTTACCACATTAGTTAATAATAATAGATAATTATAATTATCCTTTATTAATCCTTTCAAGGACAAATTCATAGTGCAATCAATATTTAATTCTAAAAAGGATTATCTTCAATAGCTTGTTTGTGTAAGTTAGTATTTTAGATGCCCTGTTTATAATATATGTATATAAGGTTTAAATAAGAAATACCAACGAACTGTAATCATTCTTATTTTGTCTTTGTACGAGTTTACATCATTGTAAAATTTGAAAATGCCGTTACAATTTGTTGACAGCGAAAGAGGTCACAAAAATAAATGAATGAATGAATGAAATTGTGAAGAGTACCGAACATAATCATGTGTCAGATAGTGCTGATGCCGAAGTAAGAAGAGCTGTTAAAAAAATGAAAGTTTTAGCTGAACAAAGTGGTTCCACTACTCAACAAATAATTGCAAAGGTTTCCGAGGGTTTATCATCATCGGCTGCAGCCAGATTACCACAAGTGAGTGCAATGAAAAGAACTATTCAACGAAAAAAGGAAAAGACAGAAGGAATTCCTGCGATTCCAAATTCTCTGCTTCAATTAGTTATTCCACAGGAATATACACTGACAAGCAGTAGTCAGTTATTTTTAATGTACGACAGCGGCCCATCAGAAGATCGAATATTAGTGTTTACAACAGCAAGAAATCTTGACTACATGTTGGAGTGTGAACACTGGTACGGAGATGGAACTTTTTAAACAGCCCCTAATATGTTTTCCCAAATATATACAATCCATGGCGTCAAATATTCAAATACCATTTCAACAGTATATGCAATTCTGCCGAATAAAAGAGAAGAAAGCTATAGACGTTTATATGCAGCATTAAAAAATTTGAAACCTGAACTTTGCCCTACATCTTTTTTAATGGATTTCGAAAAAGCATCGATGAATGCTGTACGAAGTGAATAGACCTTTTCATCACAATTTTTTTTTGTGCGCATGCGTCAGTTTCAGCCATCTTTTTCGTACTGTTTTTGTAAACAAGTATGTTAAAATGCTTACGTGAAAAAAATTATAATTGATAAATATTAATTTAAGTCTATATTCATTTAAAAAAAGGAAGAAAAAAGTAAAGTAATAATAAGTTTAGTGTCTTAATTGAAAAATACATTTTCACAATCAATTATAATTATGTTATCTGTACGGAAAGGAACAACGAAACAGTGTTGTTATGTAAAAGTGACACATGGTATAAATCATTCAAAGGCAATAGATATTATTTTATAAATTTTCCAAAGCCTTAACTGCAATATCGTAAACAATTATCAGGCAAAATCCATATTAAAAGATATTCGAAATGTGCATTAAGTGTGAAAAAATATGGTCGAAGTGACAACGGTTTTCGATGGATTAATGATGTTACTAAAGATACTTATATTTCACTGCATTTTCATTGAGAAAGTGGTCCAACAGAAGAAAATTCTAATGTGGTATTAAACAATATTTTTTTAATATTAAATACTACTTCGGTATACACATTAAATGATTAAAAATGTCATGTTGATCCTCAAAATAATAAATAATTTATTTTATTAATTATACTCGTGATTAACTTTCATGCTAATTAAAGTGTTTTTGCAAGTAGTAATAGTTGGTTGGCATAATTAATTAGAATAAAGTTATAATTATTATTTGTTTTCATTAATTTTTTACAGAGTTAAAAAGTATTGATACATCTAACCTCTCAATTAGTCCACTTTGTTCCTTTGTAACAAACATCCAAGACACTTCAACCTCCTTTTCAACTGCTCACAACTATGCGCTTCCACAGAGTTATAAAAAAGTTATTCACTATCAACGATTTTTTCTAATGATTAATTTTTCTGTAGAGATAACATTGCTTTCCCAGCCATTGTCGATCAAAACAGTACGAAACTTTTGAATTACCGCTATTTCAACATGGTGGCTGCGCTTGCGCTCATCACATGATGGAAAGGTCTATTCCCTAATACTCAAATTCGTGGATGCTTTTTTCATTTTTCTCAGTGTATATGGAGACAAATCCAGAATACCGGATTTCAGAGGAGATGTGTGGATGAAGAAGTGTTTTCATCAAATTTGCGACTTCTGGCTGCACTTGCTTATGTTCCTGAAGACGATGTAGAGAGTGCTTTTGATTTATTATTGGAAAGTGAATTCTATGCAGAAAACGAGGACTTAGCAGATTTAATAAACTATTTTGAAGACACGTGGATTGGTAGATTAGACAGAAGAGGAAGAAGACGGTTACCAAAATTTTATATATCTTCTTGGAATTGTTACAATGCAGCCAGAGAGGGAATTGCTAGAACCAATTTTGCAGTTGAAGGATGGCGTAACAGTTTCAGTTCAATTGTTTCCATTGCACATCCCAACATTTGGAGGCTAATTAAGGCTTTACAAAAGGAGGAAAGCCTTAAAAAATTGAAAATAGAGCAAATTGTGGCAGGTAATGAAATTACTCAAAAAAAAATTTACAAAGATTCTGCAAGTCGTTTAAAACTACTTACAGAATCCTACGACACTTGTAATACCATGGAATATCTTCGAGGAATTGCGCATAATTTTCGAATGCAAGTCTAAATTATTTAATATTATTATATTATATTAATTCAATTTAAAATGTAATAACTAGCAACTACAATTTTTTATATATTTTTTTTTCAATATACCTACTTGTTTTTTATTACCTATACTAAAAAATATATAAAATAAAATTTTGATTATAATAAAAAAAATAAAATAAACAATAAAATGAATTCTAAAAAATGGCTGGCGACAAATTGTCGTGGCGGTGAATTGTCTTACGATGAAATGTCGGCTCTGAATTTTCGCGCGATGAATTGTCGGGCGATGAATTGTCGGGCGATGAATTGACGTAGATCCACCTTTAAATGTATCACATTTATTCAGATAGATGCATTTTTGTCGGTCTGTTGAATTTTAATTAGTGGTTTGGGCATGTGAAACAAAATTAAGAGTTGCTTTTCTTCATTTGATCAGAAGTTAAATTATTCAAATTAAATTGTATGTATGAATTTTCCCAAGCAATAATACGTTTTTCCAAAAAACTCAGAAATTCTTTGATACTAGGTAAAGTTTTATCATTTACTTCCTGCCTTAGTTCATATTGATTTCGCAACCCTATTGTCAACCTTTGATGACATAATACATACTAATAATAAATCCCAAGAATGTACATCTATCTCTAAAGCTTCTAAAGCATGTAAATGTTGCTTAATTTTAGTTACGAATTCTTTCTGACCCGTCTGACCTTTTCCCACACTTAACTCACGAAGTTCAATAATATGATACTTCGAAACTGGCCCTTGTCTGTTATATTCACTTTTTAATAGATCCATTGCTATATCATAATTTCCATCTGTTATTTTTCACTTATAACCGACAAAGGTTCTCCTTTTAAGGATCCTTTTAAATATAAAATTTTTTGAGATTTAGCTAATGTTGTATCATTTTCTATCCCTGACACAAAAAGATCTAAAAATGTTTTCCATTCCCCATAAGTTCCCTTAAAAGTTGGTATGTTGATGCTGGGTAGTTTGATATTTTGATTGACGAGGAGACAAATTATTTTCGTTAGATACCAAATGAGCTTGATTACTTTCAACTGATTGAATTAACGTTTTGTAAATTAATGTCAACCTCTTTATAGTTATCTTCAAGCTCATATTGTATCCCATTAAATTCCTCATATGCTTTTACTAATAAATTTTGCCTTACTTCAAACTCATTTACATTTTTAATATCTACATCCCTTCCCAAATATGTTTCTATTCTTGTAATTTTTCCTTTTGACTTAGCCCGTTTTCTTTTAATTAAATTTATTTATTTTCCCATTAATCTCTCAAAATCTACAAATTAATTTTACAAATGGTTAAACAAAGAAACAATATAAATTAAACTAATATAACTTGAGAAAAGAAAGTCTTCTATGTTTTAGCTTTTTCCCACCTGATTTTCCTATACTTTAATAGAAAAATATAGCCTTACTCAGTCTATTTCAACTACTGATATTTTAGATTTTCCCTTTTCCTCTGTTATTGATTGATCCAACTGGAATACCTTCGCCTTCCTTGAAATAACCTTTACAATCCTTTCTGTGCTTCAAGATCCGGCTAGAAGGACCAATGTTTAAGTCGATGCTTTATACCCAGATGTAATAAAACACCGCTTTAATTTTACCTTGTATAAGGTTAAACATGAAGAACAGAATTATTGGATTGTCTATTTTGAGAGATTAATGGATTTAAATTCTTATTTTATTTTGTTTCGTTTCCCTAGTATTCTCACCATAGGCGTATCAAAAGGTAGGTTTTGCAGTGCTCTACAACAGGTAGAAAAGGTAAAAAAGATAAAAACAAACAGGCGTCTTTAACCTAATTTTTGATAGGTAAGTCCATGTACGGATTTAGATTTTTAATTTTGTATCTTTCTTATTTTGAGTTTTTTGTAAGGTTATTGGAAAAGACGTTTATTTTAACGACTTGTTAATAAAGCTAAAAAAATATGACCTTAGGATTCACCCTGAATACATGCGAATTTGTTTTATAAAGTCTATTTTCATATTATTTGTGATCTTAAACTTAACTTTTTTTTAGGCCCTTTTTTAACAGACTTCACAAAAGGAGGATATTCTCAATTCGTCAGAATATTTTTGTTCATGGTGTTTCAGCAATAATTCTTTACTACGTTGTCCAATTTCTATGATTCTTTTTTTGTTAGAAAGGGGATACCTCAGGAGTAATTACATATACAATTGGTCAGGGTCTGATGATCTATGAGAGAATAAAAAATCTTAATTTTTAATAGCATCTGCACGATTTTAAAGTCGGTTTTTAAAATTACTTTTATTTATATTTAAAAGATATATATTTACCGTCTGGTAGTACATATCCGAAGAAATATTTGATATCGTTATAATTTGACATTATGAAAAAAATAACAGAAGAGTCAGGAGGATGGTCCATCCAAATATATGCCATGACAAGAATATAAAAACCAAGTCTTGATACTAAAATACCCAGTATGTAAATCATCATTTTTAAATAGAAACCAGCTAGCATTTTATTTATCTCTGCCCTAAAAAATATATAAAACATAAAAAATGATTATATTGAAGAAGTATTTATTAGTAAGATAATCCTGGAATATTGATCGAATAAAAATGATTGGATACGAAAATGGAAGAATGCAAAATAATTAGTACATGAAAAACTAAACAGGTCTAAGATTAAATAAATAACTAACGTTTTTTTTCCTCTTACTTTCTAGCCAAATTAATTTTTCTTATAAAATATTCTTCCCACGTATACATCTTTATAATCCTAATCATGGAAAGTGCCTCTTGTGTTTCTTCTAAACGTTCGTCGGTCTTTTTACATGTTTTCATTCTTAACTTTTTCAGGATTTTGCCAAGATATACTGAAATAAAAATTAAAAAAATACCTACCAACATGTTCACAAAAATATTATGGCCGTTTCAATTTTTCATACAAAGTATAAAATTGCACAAAACAAAGTATCAATTTTTTCATTAAAATTAGAAAATACATTAATTTGATAATACTTTTTTATGCTCAAAACATTAAGTACTCACTTTGTAGCGGTATAACTCCAAGGAACAACGAAATTCCTGTAAAAGTAGTAGCACCAATTCTCGCATACAACAAATAACATACAACCGAAGTATGAATTAAACCAGTCCATAGGTCATTGAGGAAAAAAATGCCCCTCTCAAACGTCTGAACATCTCTAGTGATCAACGTTACTATATTTCCGAAAGATATTTCAGATAATGCAGCAGGAGACAATTTTAAAGTTTTCCTGTATAGAAAGGCAGAAAAGCACGTTCTCATTTCTATGCCGATTGATATGAAATACAAGTATACATTGTAGTAAAATATCGTGGTGAAAAAACTGAAAAAAACGACCAAACCTGCATTGTAATAGGCATCGTTCTTTGTAAATTTCTTCTGGTCCTCGTTGAAAAAAGCAATTAAATTTTCAAATGCTTTGGGTTCAAGTAAGCTAAAAAATAAAAATAATTTTGTGAATTCAAAAGTTATTTAAGGGAATAACGTATGTCTCATAAGTTTTAGGAAAAAAGTAATGGTAAACAATTTGATAAAATTTTTAATTTATTTTTTATTTTAACAACATGACTAAATAACTACGTTATTTCTTATTTCTACTAAATATGATTCTTAAGTTGTAATAATCTGTTAATGCATAATGTTCCATATATGGCACAAAGCAGTTTTCCTAAGAAAATAAAGTTATTTTTACAAATAGATTTTTTTAAATATTTTTACATATGGTTCAAGTTTTCATGCAACTAATTTGTTTGAACACAAAAATGATGAGGTAAAAACTTAAACCTTTTCGGCTATCTGAAAGAACTATGCATAAATCAGATTTAATATAGGATCTAGGACCGTACCTTGTGGCACTTTGGAAAAGAATATTTTATTTAACCAAAATACATGATATACGATTTTTATAATTAATTCAAATTGAATCGGTGAGTGAAAGAACAATACATATCCAAAATGACCATTTTGAGAAAAACAAAAAAAAAACTGTTTTAAAAGAGAACTATGGGTTATTCGGCCTAATTATGTATTGTGAAGTTATAGAATTTATGTTAACCGATAATAATACGTACATAAATTTAAAAATAAAATTAAGTAAAATATGATATTTGAAAAAAATGACTTGCAGTTATACTGTTCTTTCACTGAATTTAAAAAAAATGCTTTAATTTTTTTTTGTAGCTTTATTGATTATTATTTCACAAACTTATTTGTAATTTTTTAATCAGAATCTTCATTTTTGACTTTCCAAGAAATAATATATGGTAGTAAAACTCTAGGATTTCATCACTAAAGTAGAATAAAAGTATCTTTATATTGGCTATCTTCTTTACGTTAATAGGGACAACTTCTGAGTATACCTTTTCTAATGGCAAGCATACACGCAACGGTCTACCGGAGAGGCCTACCTGTGCAGGTATGCCTGCGCAGGTCGGCTTCATGTCGTAGCGTACATGTCTGCACAGACAGACCGTAGCGTGTATGCCCGCCATAAGGGTAACTGCAGATTGGGATTAGGTTTGATATCAGTCTATTGCGCTACACACATAAAAGTGTGCGAGAGAAAACCGCCTATGAAGGCACTTGTAGTAACATATCCAGAAGTTTTACCAGTGTATGTAAACTGGCTGTACTGTGGAATGACAAAATTAGCTTTTTGTTCATCAGCTCATTTAGAGGATTTTTTATGAAATTGCGACCACCAGTTTTTGAAATCTGTGTTAAATGTGTCTACTTGTACTGTTCTTTCACACAACCGAAAATTGAACAAGCCCCCATCGCTCGTATGATGTTGGTCTGTGTATTATTCTTTCGCTATGTGATAGGCCTATGAATTTGAAACAATTTGCCTATCTCAGTTAAAATTACCGTTTTTAGCACTTGTACTGTTCTTTCACTCACCGATTCAATTAAAGTCCTTATCAAATAATTGAACATCCATACTATACTATTTTTATTATCATATTGACCGAATTATTAGAAAAATACTTTTATTTTTAAAATATAGATCATGTAACTGACATAATAATATTTGAAATTAGGTGTACCCTTATCATCGCGATTACGCACTAATTTTGGATAAAATTGACATTTAGTGAAAAAGTTAACTGTTTACTTTGAATTTCAAACCTTCAAACTATATCAATTATATACAGTGAGGTCCTAATGTTACGGATAAATTCATTATATCGACCTAATTAATGATTTGAAGTGAAAATCCTGAAACAGATCCCCTCTCGGAGGGGTAACTATCCCTCTTAATTTTAAATAAAAAGAGAGACATGCAGTGGCGTACGGTGACATCTTTGGAAGGGGAAGCGATTGTATAAAAATACAGCAGGCCAGTAAGCACAGCGCCGCAGGCGAAAATTTTTCACATAACGGTTAATCATGGGCGTCGTTACACAATTCTATTGGAAGAGGCAAAATTTTGAAAAAAAATTTAGAATATTTATTTGTTGGAAAAACAAAATTAAAAATAAAGAAGCAATACAAAATAACAAAAGTCTCAACCCAACCAAAGAGACTAAAATAAAAAAAACAAGAAACTTAAAACACATATTTTTAAAAAACAAACAGAAGGTATGATATAAAAGAAAAATAGGAACAATAACACACAGCCATATATATTAATAAAAAAAAATATTTATAGAAAACCAAAAATATAAAAAATTTACTCAAACACGTCGACAAACAAAAAAAAAACTTTATGAAAACGAAAATTTCATCTTTTTCTACCAAAAATATCGATAACAGAAGGCATAATTTCTTATTTGTTTCACACGATAATTCTTCGATTTATGCTCATCAAGCATAGCCTAGTCATCCTATTATCGTTCTTTATTCACTCCGTGTGTGACAGCAGCGCCAACGAATTTATGAACTAACGGACAATATTTGCGTTTACTGACAATACAATTTTTAATTGAATTTGTAATTAAAATATTATATACATATATTATATAAAAAAATTCTTACTATATATTATTTCATAGTAAATTCATTAGAGTTAAATTATGCTTAGTTGCAATTCCTAGAATAGTTATCATTGACCTCTAGAATTATATTCAGCTAAGTTGCATTTCTTGTAAATCCAACACATCAATCCATTCTTGACGATCACTACGGCTTAAGGCTTCTTCTACACTTAATGGATTACCAAAATGGGAAGTAGTTGCAGAAAAACTTGAGAAGTCTAAGAAAACATTTTGGGCTTTCAGCCTCTCAGAACGTCTAAGTGGATCGTCTTCTTGCTTAATTTCTTTAGAGTGAATAATAGAAGATGAGTGATTACTGGATGATTCTGCTTGAACTTTACTTATTCCATCTGTCTCTATTTCACCAATTTCCGAGTTTTCAGAGACCTCGGAATCATTCGTAATATGGAATAAAGTTTTCATGTTTTCTGAATCGTTATTGGTATTTTCATTCCCCCTTTCTTCTTCGGAGAACACGACATCTCGGGACAAAAAACCGATATCTCTTTCTGGATCATAAAGACGGTATGTTTTTGAATATTCACTATATCCTACAATGATGCACTTAATCGAAGTAAAATCGACACTTTGTGGGGCGCTTTGTCCATATTTCTCGTACATCGAGCGCCCGACGCTTTCTTCACAATAATACTAGTAATTTCCATTTATTATTGTTTTAAGCTTATTTGAAAAATTATTTTTAACTTTTTAGTTTGATATGCTCTAAAAGCGTGTTTTTTAGTTTTTAAACTATATTTATTAGGCTATTGCATAGCTTTTACCGCGGGCTTTGAGCGCGGCGATCAAATCAAGAAATTCCGCGAAAATAAACTATTGTCCATTGTTTAACGTCGTTTCAGTTCGGCAGACTTCGGCACGGTGTTTATGTGCGTGCGACTAGACGTATGCGTGTGGACTAGCTGCTAACTGCTCATAACTGATTCTATCTTTTTTAGACCCAATGCTAGGTGAGACAGCGTGCTTTTGGCCGCGTCCACGAGTGAGTTTGAGCCTGGAGTTGTACAGTATATTTTTTCTACGATTCACTAACAAAAATCGAAAAATCGAAAAATCAAAAAATCGAAAAATTGAAGAATCGAAAAATCGTAAAATCGAAAAATCGAAAAATCGGAAAATCGAAAAATCGAAAAATTGAAAAATCGAAAAATCGAAAAATCGAAAAATCGAAAAATCAAAAAATCGAAAAATCGAAAAATCCAAAAATCAAAAAATCAAAAAATCAAAAAATCAAAAAATCAAAAAATCGAAAAATCGAAAAAAAAAATCTAAAAATCTAAAAATCGAAAAAGAAATTCCGTAACGAAAATAAATCTAACACATCTCACTCCGACCGGCACAGCGGTGCGGCGTTGAAAGCCGTGCATCGTCTAAAGTGGTTTCAGTTCGGCAGACTTCGGCACGGTGTTTGTGTGCGTGCGATTAGACGTATGCGTGTAGACTAGCTGCTAACTGCTCATAACTGATTTTATCTCTATTAGACACGATTTCTGAAAAATTGAATTTGAAAATGAATTATGATCCACAAGAATCCACAACAAAATATGGGACACCATTGACGCGGTATTTTCCAGATATTTAGAGGATATCAACTCTCAAACTTATGTTTCTTATTTCAGTTACCATAAACCTATAGTTTCAATGATAAAAATTCCTGAATAACCTACATGTATTGTAAGATAATAAAAATATTTTAAACAATATTAACTTCTAATTTATTCAATAAAAGAAAAAAAAATGTTTTCTTATCGGTTACCACATTCAAAAAGTGTAACTTGAATTAATATCAAAGAAAAAAATACTGCATAAATAAAATAAATAATTATAATTGTATAAGTTGATAAAAAATGCTATGCAATAGCTTTACTGCGGCAGTCCCCGAGTGCCACACGTATTTTTTTTTGTGCGTTTGATTTGATCATCGGAGATCTTCGAGCGCTGCAAATGTGTTTGAATTGACACTCCGAGCGATCCCAAAAATGTTTGTTTCGCTTTACAGCGAGAACATAGAGCGAGCTCGATGTTCTCAGAGCATAAGGATTGAAAGGAGAAAGAAATTTGTCTTTGTCTCTACCTATCTCTTTTTAATTAACCTACAAACGAATCTCAAAATTCGAGACAGACAAGAAGTCTTATAACTAAAATAAATCATTACAAAAAATTAAATGTGTGTTTAGAAAGTACATTTTCTCTGCCCAGATCTATTCACCTGTAATCAGTCATAAAGTTTTAAAGCGAAGTAGGCATTTGTGGTTATTGCTACATTTCAGAGCCATTGACCCTTATTGTTAAAATATTTTCCATTTTCTTCACCTTTTACTCACTGTTTTGACAGACAAACCAGAAACAAGAATCACAAAAAAGCGAGGTAATGTTTTTTACTCTGATTTGATGTTCTATTGTAACGTCATCACTTCTCGGTCTCCTCGACGCTCGCCCG